CATTAAAGTTCCAGAGTCACTGACTTGCATAAGCTGCTGTGCTCCAGCACTGGTTACAATCAATGCTCCAGAATTGCCCATTAATTGCTGAGTTGTGCTCACTGTTAGTATCTGTGGTGCCGGTGTCAAAAGTTGGGCACGAGATGCTGCTGGTGCTAATGTTAAATTAGGAGTAGCTGCAGCTGGAACCAAGGTGGGTAGTGCTCCAGCTAAACTCACCACTGGGGTCACACTGACAGTTGCCAAAGACACAGGTGCTGAGGTTCCATGTCTGGATGTGATCACACATGGTTGATTGTTTCTTACTGAATTTTGCTCAAGTAAAAATTCATTCATAGAAGTCAATTGCACATTTTTTTCTGTCAAGTCAGCTACTTTTGTCAATAACACACTAATATTATCATGCAACAACTTCACTTTATGATTCAGAGTTTCACAATTGTTGCATATATTTGATGGTGACAAAACTTGTTTATCAAGTGTCGCTTCTTCAAAAGCAAATCGTCTAAATTTAGCCTCTGGTGGTGAATCATCATCTCTAATATTAGGTGGGGGACGATTAAACGATGGAGGTGGGGCATTTAACATAGGAACTGTCTCATTACTAACCATTTCTGGGTGAATTAACTTGCAATCTTGATTAGGGCATGTCCCATGTATATAATTTAAGCAGACTGGAATTATGTTACGAGGATCGCGTGGAAAAGTTCCGGTTACGTAAAAATGTTCCTCTTCTTCAACAGAACTATGGACAAACTTGCAATTAGCTCGGAAACAACCTTTATTTTGGAAATCATGACAGAAACGAAATAACTCTTTTAAGCGAGCTTTCGGTGGTAGTTCGTGTAAATATCTACAATTATCTCTTAAACAAAATCCTCTGATAAAATTTCTACAATATCTGTTTAGGCTTGGAGCCGCATTTTCAACATCATCTGATAAACTCATCGCACAGTCGGGAGTCGTAACGCTTTTGCCAATCATCACTCACTTTATTTTATAGGATAAGTCTTCGTTGAACCGATTTATAACTAGTTGCCTCCATTGTTCTCAATTACAGTTAAGGAGTAATGTGCCTTGTCTCGAAAATTTTTCCATAAAAATTCCATTTCAATACACTGCAAATTGAACTATGCATTCTTCATTTTATTTTAAAACATCTGTCTCCAATTATTAACACTGACTTAACAAACAGATAAATATCATATCAATCTTAGGAAGCTTACAATTAAAATGAATTCATTTAAATTGCAGTTCTAAAGCAAAGTTTCTTTTGGAGTTATAAAAGTTATAGCACTTCGCTTTTTTCGCTGCCTTTGATTGATTTGATTCTCTCACGTTATGGATTGGTTATGGATACTTTTTACTTATTCGGTTTATAGTAAACATCGAGATATTACCACTGATATCTATGCTAAATGGATAGGCCATTGTAAAATTACCGCTTTTGCATCGTTCGGACTTAAACCAACTTAAAGATGAACTGATAGTTAAATGTGCAAACTATTTATCTCGTATGTTTTTTCCCTTTTTTATTTTGAATTTTCACCACCACGACCAATCGTAACCTACAGCGCCTAAATGGCAAAAACTGGCAAAAACCAGAAAGGCACAAATATTACGTCTTAAACCTATCTATTTAATAGATGTCACTGAAATATCCCGTAAATAAGGAATTTGTTTGGAATTGGACATGAGAAGATATTCAAAACTTGCGAAAATCGGCATAATGATTTATGATGAAAATCAGTAAGTAGAAAGTATTCTAAAAATAAGTATTGTTAAAATTGTATTATTTATTAATTTTGATGTCTTTATTCAATCTGTGACAACAAAGGACACATTTGTCAAAAATAAACTGAAATCTATACTCTTTGATTCGAAAATGATGGTGACTTGTTTGTGTGAAAATAATGTTCGTAAGAAATATTTTGAAATCAATAATTAGTATACGTGTTTCTTAGTAATATATCGTGTTTTTTTGTTTAATAATATCAATATCTCCTTTCTTAATAATGTAACCAAGAAATGGGGGCGAAACTGTCACATGGGTGTAAACTTTTATGATGTTACACAAACATCATGTTATTTTTTAGAAATTACCCTACCGATTGTAACAGTTACTAGTTTAGATTGTTGATATAAAAATGTTTAAACAACAACTATCTCCAAGGACTATTCACCCTTACCAAACCACTATGGTACCACGAAGTGAACAACAATTTTCATCAGCATCACAACAGCGAGTAAAATACCCGTGGACTGAAAATACACCTGTGTATGAAGTCGCTGCAGCGGACAGTTCTACTTCTGATAATGCTTACCATGTAAGTATTAAAAAAACTTGATATATGGACAGATGAAGGTGAAAGTTTGATGTTAATTTTCTGTCACACAAGATTATTAATTTAAATTCAACTTTTACAGCTTCCACATTATTATAATGGTACTCTGAGGGAGTATGGTCCACCATCACCAGTGTATCAAACTCCATATAGCACAGCAACAGGTACCTGGCGGAACTACAGACGAGGAGAGAAAGTTCCAGTTCACAACGCACACACTTATGCATTCCCACCGTGTGCTTCATCGTTTTCCCTGCAGTTATGTGAAGCAGATTCACAAACACATCCTGTAAATCGCTCACCGATCCCACCAGTACCGTCCGTTAGTCCGGAAGTTCCTATAATTGGTGCCTGTGGAGGACATTGCCCAGGATTTGAATATGTGTGCTACTATATTTTACAAGTAAGTATGGTTTCCTTTTTTTCTGTGAGATATTTAATAATTTAGACAGAAACTAATTTTATACATTGTTTCAGGTAATATTTGTAGTAGGAATATTAACTGGAATCTCTTTATGCATTGCTGGCATTGTGTTGAGACGCACAAACCGTAATGGTGATCTCGGAGTATTAGTTTATATTGGTAAATATTTTCTTATAAACAATAAGGATAGAATACTGCTGTCCATAGACATCCGCAGTTGCAGATGCATTGCCTTAATCGACAGAAGAGGAGACTCAGATAAACAGGATATTTCTTCTTCCTATGTGTCTTCTCCACCGTCATATCCTTCCCTTAAGAAAAGGGTATAAAAGGAAAAGGGACCAAAATTAGACCTCCACACTCATCAGACTAAACACATAATTGTTCCCAAGTGTCCCACCGGATGAGTCCATTTGTGCAAAGATGCGGCGTCTACTCTGCTGGCGATATGCAAGCAAGTTACACATGCTAGTAGCTGCAAGTGTCAAGTACTTGTATAATGCATATTGCAGGCTGCCTGGCGTCGTGCGTGTGCGGCGTGCTGCTCGGCGTGCAGTGCTGCGTGCGCCGCGAGATGCGTCAGCGCAAGCTGCGAGCCAACATGCACATACCAATGCAATCTATACAGGTATACTAACTATTTCCTACTTCATCATTATCGTCATCAGCTCATTATGCATCCACACAGAAGGACTATGAGCCTACCCAAAGTAAGAGGTGACTAGTCAACCACACTGGCCCGGTGCAGGTTGGTTGGTTGATTGGAACCCAAGACCTGTTGATAACAAGTAAAGTGTTTAAACCCCTGAGCCACTGATGCTGTTTTCCTACTTGAGATATAAAAAAATAATACTAACAAAGTAAAAAATAAAAAATCACTACTTACTATTGTAAATTAATATTACAATAGTAAGTAGTAATGGGGGAAAAAATTTAAAAACAAAGTGAATACAAAACAATGAAAAACAGTAAACCTAATACATTTTCATTGCTTTTCTAGATTTTATAGTAGTTTTATTCCATTACTTTTATATCGATAACTAGCTTTCGCCTGCCACTTCATCCGCTCGAATTAGATAAAAACAAAAGTAACCTACACATTCTCCTAGACTATGCGCTACATCTATGTCAAATTTCATCAAGATCCATTCAACCATTTAAGCTAAAAACTAACAAACATTCATCTAAACTTTTGCATTTACAATTTTTGTAAGAATTGTGTTGTGTTGTTTCAGGAAGCACCAGCCGTAGCTTGCCCTTTGATAACATCCTCAACATTACCTCACAGTCGAGTATACAGGTCAGTCAATATGTTATGTAGTACAAAGTTGTAAGGGTAATTTTTACTGGAAATCAATTGCTCAGTCTTAAAACTTCCTATATTTGAAGCAAGTAGTATACTTTTATTTTAGAACAGACAAGAAATTCAGCAGATATTTTTATTGTAATTGATGTTATATTCACATCGCACATAAAATCACAGAAATGTACATCATTTTAAGCAAAATGCTTGAGCAACGAAATGCTCGAGCTGAATGTGTAATTAGAGACAGTTGTCGTGAAGTGCATAGAGCTTCTATTAATTAATAAAAATATTTACTTATCATCGACTTCGACCAATACTATATACTAGTTTTCGCTACTTAGTTCGCGTGGAATTAAAAAAAAGTGACTAGCCTATCTGTTCTTCCAGTCTATTGTCTACATCTATACCAAATTTAATCAAAATTCTTTTTAAAAAGACGTTTAGGCTACAAACTCTAACAAACATCATCCATCCATCCATCCATCTATCCATCCATCCATCCATCCATCCATCCATCTATCCATCCATCCATCCATCCATCCATCCATCCATTCATCCATCTAAACTTTCCCATGTATAATATTATATTAAATTAAATAAATACTAAGTATGGTTATTTGTGTATCTTCCTAGGCCGACAGTGAGCGCGTACGAGGGCGACGTGACGGGAGTACCTTGGTGGCGCCGCACCGCAGACTGATTAGCTTTAAGTATATTATGATGTATTTACAAACTAATACTATAACTTTTTTATTATCTGTGTCCAAATAAAACAATGATCTTATAATAAACGCTTTGAAAATATAATTGTATATTTTCTTTTAATTTCTGTCCCTCGTAAACATCGATAGCGCGGAATTTAAAATAAAATAGTCGTCTAAAACATTCCTGCGTGCATCTTCCAGTCAGTCCTACCAAAATCTGTCCACCCGTGCCAGTGATATCAGTCAGTTGGTCATTATGACATTGCAGAATCCAAAAAAACGTAGCCGTTCATAAAACATGTTTATTCATATCAGCTACCTTCAAATTCACGTCAAAATCGGCCCAGCTGTTCGGTTTGTCAACTTGGTGTAATATTTTTGGGGCTAATTCACCAAATTGTATGTTGTCTGATAACAATACTACGTGTAAATATGATGGAAATATCGGATTTTGTAACCTTATCTGATAGTGACGTCATTTTAAAGCTATCTGAGCCTCTATCATCTAGAGATGGCACAGGACCTTAGTCTCTTAAAACCCCAGAATTTAGAATTTGTAGGTATATAAGGGGATAGAAATCATGGAATTAAAACAATCACATATATCCTTACAGAACTTTATTAGAGATACAGACAGATATTGAAGATATATTAAGTACATATAAATAAAAAAATGTACTTCAAGTACTAAAAATAAATTATAAATACATTTGTAAATTAAAAAATAACGCGCACAATATATTGATTCACACTTGCAACATTGTAAAATATGGTTAATCTAAATAAAGGAACATAAAAATAGCTTAAAAAAATGAATCAAACAAGAAATAAAGTTTCAGCATTTTACTTAAAATTGTATAACTGCAGCTTACGACTATATTTCTCTTATCTAGAATCAAATTATTTACATACATTAAATTTTCATTCAAATTGTACGATTTATAATTTTAGTATGATTGTTATGATGGATTACATTGTTTGTTTAGCTTTAAATAATTCGTTTTGCAAATCTTAAAGAGAGCTTTTAAAAAAAATAATATCATTCCAAATTCTTATATTTCTATAAAATTAAATGCCATTGAATCCATCTACTTGGACATCGCCCTTTAATTTAAATGAAGGGCTAGCTCACGAGTCTGGACGACTTAAATCTAAAAAGGACGGTCTCAACATAAAATATTGTACATAAAACAAAATTACGACACGACTAAGAAATACTTAAAGTAAACGATTTGCAAAAAGCAAAAAATTATTTCTAAAGCAAAATTTCATTTCTCTAATCCTATTGTGTTTGTGTTAATTATACAATTTAGTCAAATATTCTTGAGTCCTCTGAACATAGGATCGGGCAATGGCACGAAGGCAAAATGAAATATACGAAGTGATGTGGGTTTCCGTTTGCCCGATATTTTGCGTTACACGCAGCCAATTAAATCCTATTCCGACAATTCAAACTTGTTGAAGCGATTGATTTATTGCTGTATTCGCATATAATTTTAATATCCTTAAAACTTACAAACACCGGTAAGCGATTTAAAAGACAAAATAGACTTTGACAACATTAATTTTTATCTCATAGCGAACATTACTGAAAATTACAGCAAAAGCAGTGTTTTAAAAAGTTACATATTTAAAGTAACTTTCCAACACAACCTAATTTACTTAACTCGAAAGATACAATGAAACGACAGATATACGATTATGGGCGTTACAATCCTAAAAATATGGACGATAATTTGGCCACATGTCTTTACTAAATCACATGTACATATTATAATGAAATCTATTTTAATCTTATAATACAGATTATTAGAATAAAATGTCTTAGAGATGTAACACATTAATAAATTGAGACATACGAGTAAAATAAACAGTCATTGAAGGTGAGATTTAGAACACAGTGAAAGTATAATAAATCGATTCGAATGTTCTCGATTTTAGTTAAAGTCGATTGTATCAAGGTACATACATAAAATATTTTATCACACAATAAAACGCACAAAGTTTACGAACATAATCATCTCGGATTAGTTTTGTACCTTGAAATATACCTAAGGACAAGAGACATACAGAAATTGAAATGCTTAATATAATGGCTTCGACAGAACTGCCATATAAATTGTAAAGTTGGGATGCGTTCAAAAAGAGCATCAAAATGGATTACCACGAAAATATGTTCTATGCTTATGAATATTTTATGTAACAGGATTTATCTTTCGAACACGTTGACGAATAGGGGGACAGAAATATAACCAGGGCTTGCCTGAGTTCGTTTTTTTTAAATTGAATCTTATGCCACCGAAGGTTGACCGTCCAACATCTTATCGCTTTCCTCTGCACTGCTTAAGCTGAAAACAAAGAAAACACTGGTTTAATAATAGGTATTTGAATTGTGCTTTAATGCTCTTTAACACATTGGATTTTTTAGTTTCTTACAGTAAATAAGTCGTAAGGTTTAACCACAATCAGGCAGCCTACCATGAAATATTAAAATAAATAAGTACGTCTTTGTTACGCTTTGAATCAGCGGAACGTATTAATTGGTTCCGAAGTCAGACAATTAACAAGATTTGTATAAACTGTTTAGCATAAGCTCGACTCCGTGTTCGCTCGATGCGAATACAAGTAAAACTTATGTAAACACGTAAAGACAAAGGCATACCTTGTGTGAACTATTAACACCTGCCTTGAGCCGACAGAGCGGCCACAATAGAGCGCCGGGCATTGTGTGGACGTGTACCAACAACTCAGATTCATATGACATGTATTTATGCTACATACGTTCGTGTAAATAAAAGATCAGTCGATGACAATGAGCGGAAATCATTACGCCGCCCTCGAGCTGGTCTAACACCCGATTGATTTTTGATTACAGGCACCAGGTGGAGTTAAGTGAACGAATCTCTAGTTGCGTCTTGCAAATGTGAATGATATTCGACGTGGTTTACATTATACTACTGTTCAGAATGATTCCCTATTGATTAAATAGCATGGAAGTAGAAATTATCTCGGAAATATACTTGGTAATAAAGCCGCGTTTAAAGTAAAAGGCTTGAAAACAGCTGTGCATTTCAAAATCCAACATTCAAAAGGTCAGCTTAATTCTATTTTTAACTTAACTCCCGAGCCGAGAACTCTGTGAACGTCGCACTCAACGCGCACGACCTCATATTTTGTTATTCCAATTACTTTGTGAATGTAAAATGATTTTTTTTTAATTAAATAGATGCGGACAAATATTCCTCGCACTCGGTTTCTTGATCAGATGGTAAATTCATTTGTAGCACTGTACAGAAAGTTGAGGATTTAATAAAAAGCGGCTACGTACAAGACTTTAGCAGAGGACTTCATTTTTTCGAACGCTTTCAGTATTATCATATCATATTATACCTCTGTGAAATCATTGAATCATTTATCACGCTCGATAATCCGATCATCAAAAGTGGCAATTCCCACAAATCTTATTAGCTCGTGACCTCGCAGCGTAATGCAGTACACATAGGATTACCCTCAATAAAAATATACAATAACTTGTCTAGAAATGTTTGAAACATTTAAATGTATGCCAATCATAATTGCGACTTCATGAATAGGTAGGTTAAATATCAACAGAGAGATTAGAGAAGAATTACATAAAGTAATTGGTAATTGCCTAGGACAAAGAAATTGTAAACATACAATAGTCAACTTTTGCCAAATGTATAATAGTGCTGGTATAGTCCTTTATTATAGTTGAAGACTTCGGGAGTTTATTGATTAATTTATTGTACGCACCATTCCTTGTTATCCATGAGATTGCGCATCTCGTCGTCGGGTGCGGGAGGGGCGTCGCGCACGGGTGCGTACTGCGCCGCCACCAGCGGGTCCGTAGAGGGGTTGAGCGCGGTGAGGGCCGCAGCGCCACTGGCCGGGGCCTCCTTGCCGCCGCCCCATCTGGCAGACCAGGCCCAGCCACCGACACCTGAGAACATAAATAAGTTTAAATAGAGACTAGAAAACACGGAGGTCGTTTATCAGATTTATTGATAGTCCATGAAGCATCTTTGAGATAAACTATGCTTTTCTACGAGTTAAGTAGTTTTCTAGAATACTTCGATCGACCTACATTAGCTGTCATCTCGAGTGCTCAAGATGCTTCCGACATTAGATAATAGAGTGTCATTGGGAGTCTGATCCACTTTATCGAAACAATGCAATTAAAGCGCAGTTTGTGCTTTAGTGTTTGTAAAGTGTTGTACATGTTTAGATCAGGGTTATACTCGATATGATTGTGTCCATCATGATGTATTTTTCAAATTTATTAAATAAACGTTTTTTAGTTATCACCTTTATCTCTGTGCCTCATATTATTTATAACTCAATTATATCCTAAACCATTTACAGATTATCCTGCTACAGTGTATGTTTAGTCTAAGTTTAAACATTTAAAACGTCACGACGTTTAGAACCTCTGATTAAAATAACCGATGACCAAATAATCCAGATTGCAAAGCAATCGGATTAGATGTGGGCGCGTCGCCTACATGCTTCCGTTCCCTGCCCACTATCGTAATTTCATTCTAAGTGCAATGAAAATTAATCGCAGTAGACTACAATACACAAAAACGATAACCTATATACTTTGTCTGTTTCAACCTCTTGGATTGGACTCTTTGTTTGATTTACCACGTGTTTGTTGCTATAAATAAATACAACGGTCAATTGTTGTACTTCGAAGAACGTACCAAGGTTCCCAATTTATACCGTTGACCGTAGATTATAATTACACTCACATACTGCTGGCTACTATTGATTTATTGTACGCATTTCCTTCCTCGTTTCCGCTTCCTGAATTGTATATTCGAAATTTAATGGTGTCTTAATTCCATTACAAATTATCGATTACCTTTGGTTGTGTTTGTTACCGTAATTGTTTAAGAGTAAATAGAGAACAGTAGACAATACAACAAATCAATCATTTTCATGGTTACTGACACAATTAAATATGAAATTAAGTAAATACGTGTAAAAATTTATCAAATGAATTTCTGAACAAAAGATTGAATCAAACATAAAATGATTTGAAGTTTCATTGTTACTACCCATAATTAAACCTTTTTCTATCAATAAAATGGAACAGTCGTCGATGTTATCATTTCCTTAAGGTTGAGGTCAGTGGTCAGTGGGCACGGCATCACATCGTCTCTCAAGGTTACATGCTTATTTATAACACTAGTAATTGTTATAGGACTATCTTGCAAAAGGATTTAATACCTTTAGTGACAAAGCATTAAACGAATGTTTTTTAAATATTGCAATAATCAAATCTAGTCCGCGCATTGATCAGTTTGTGATATATTTTATTTTTCTTTGGTAAACATCTTTACATCAATATTATGTATCTCTATTGCAGAAGTCGTCTGAGCAGGATCTTCAATCTAAATGTTGTTTTTAAATATCACATTTAGATTACATCGGCTTAACAAACTGATCAACCGGTTTGTGATGTTTGTCTATCGTAAAGTTTAATAAAAACAAGAAACACCTTTTTTGAGTTTAATAAAGAATTAGAACAATTATTAACAAGTATGTTGTCTGAATTGAGGTGCACTAGTTCAAGTTACAATCATCATTATCACCAGCTCACTTTACGTCCCCACTGAGGGGTTCGGAGCCTACCCTAAGTTCAGGATAACTAGGCCATGTCAACCACGCTGGCCAAGTGAGGATTGGTTGACTTCACACATATCTTTGAATTTCTTCACTGATATGTGCCGGTTGCAATACGAGGTTTTCCTTCGCCGTAAGAACTTCGTGTAAATTATGTACCAATGAAAATTCGAAAAGTCTAAAATCACATTGGTACATGACGGGATTTTAACCTTAGACCTGTATATTACAAGTCAAGTGCTTAAACCACTGAGCCACCGACGCTCTAGTTCAAGTTACAAGCCAGAACTTATTCATAAAGTTAATAATCATTAAACTGACCTGCAAACAGTAGTCCCAAGAACAGTATAACTCCGCCGGCGACGAGAGCTCCCAGTCCGTCATCGGAGCCCTGAGGTGTTGGGGTCGCATTTGACATCTGCACGCCGCCTGCTATCAGTAGAGCCAAACCTGCGAACGAACAAGTTTAATTAATTATTTTTCACAAATAAGGTGAAAGAGGGTAAGTAATACTGTCGTTCCAAATGAAAACAATATAATTCGAGAGGTTATAGTTCATAATACAAAGATCTAAATTTACTTCAGTGAGTTCAAATTGAACGTACCAATTTCTTTATTATCTTGATTACGGAAATAATTCAATTATGTTTAATGTATTAAGCGATAAAATAACGAACATGATATAATAATTGTGATAACGCAAAAATACCTTCACCTTAATTAACGAATTGGTTACAGATAAAGAAGTATATGGAGCATAATAGGTGACGTAATATTTTTGTTTCTTTTGAGTACGATTCTACCGACTTCAAATTATGCGTAGCCCGTACTAATTGGTGAACAATAAATACCTTGAATAACGTGCAAACGAATTTATTACAATAGTATTACGTAGCAAAGGCTTTAATGTACCAAAAAAAATTACTCTGCTGTAGCTGGTATTTTACATACCTGCTTTGGGATTCTAGAATTGCTACTGTAATTTTCGTATCCGTCGCATTAAAATAATTAAAAGTTAAAAGAAATCATAATTAGTAGGCCTTGACTTTTTAACTGCGGTTCAAAATAAACCGATCTTGTGCCAAATGGATCGGCCGTTGGCATTTCTTGGCACGCAATTTTATTAACTCTGGTAATATACGCATGCGATAAAAATCGGAGTAAAACTGGTGTAATGACTAACATCTAATTTCATTAAACCCAACTAAAATCGTACATAAAAGAACCGAGGACAAAAAAAACACTAATGTGTCAATGGAAAAATCATACTAATGTTTTACTTCATACTTTTATGCTAATATTATAAATATGTAAGTTTAGATGAATGCTTATTAGAGTTTGTAGCCTAAACGGTTGAACGGATTTCTATGAAATTTGGTATAGATGTAGAGTATAGTCTGGAAGAACACATATTCGTTTTTTTTAATTCCACGCGGACGGAGTCGCGGGAGAAAGCTAGTATGTAATAAAGTTTCTTTTTCACAGACATCACTGAATTCATAAGAAATAAAAAATTGGTGAAATACCCTTTCAACAAGGTGTGATACAATGTAGGTAACACAAAATACCAGCGACCGCATCGCATATCACGTCATTTTTGTGAGTGCCTTTTCTTTGTGCAAGATGACGTTGTTAACAAACGGATCAATGCACCGCTATATTTAACCAATATGAGTCGCTGAACGCTGTATGACATTACTTTTTTTAACGAAATGTAGGTCGGTATTGTGAAGCTGTTAAAAAATTCTGATACTTTTTCATTAAATATTTGAAGTCCAAAGTTTCAAGGGAAACCAGTTTAGCATGCATGAATACAGCTACTTCCAATAGTATGTTTAAATTCATTCATTTCATCAATTTGTCTATAAGTCTTGCTTGATACAGGTATTCCATACAGTGGGGAGGCCTGTATCACCTTTTTTATTCGATCTTAAGACATAATAACAAAATGTATTTTGGTTTGTACTTCTCTTGTATAAATAAACATACAAAAGTGTAAACATACAACAGATTTACATAGAACATGTTAAAACATGGAAGTGACCGCAGCCACTGTATTAATATTACGCAAACCAGAAATAAAATGTAGGCGTCTGTTTGCGGTAAGGAAACCAGAGCAGGCCTTTGTTTCGCAAGAAGTAATATTAGTCGGGATTTCTCATAGTGCATTTGTTTACTACACCGGAAACAACACCAGGGTACATTAGTGTGCACTGTTAAGAGGCAAACTTCCGTCTCTTCTTTTAATCTATACGCTAAATCGTCTATTGCTAGTTCCAGAGAACTGGTCTTGCTTACCCCTAGCTTCAAGAAAGGCAACCAAAATTATTAATAAAAATGAATCTCTTTTGAGTGAACTATCATATGATGTGTTCGATGTTATTTTAATTTTTTATCTCTATCCATTTCCATTTACTGTTTGTTTTTCACTGCTTTATTCGTGTTTTTCTTTTTTCCTTCTTCCGTTTTTCAGCCGCCATACACTTTAGATAACACCGTATCTTATACAATATACTTCATCTAGTGCATAATAATTGTTTCGATTCAAATTTAAAGTTTGATACTTTAATAGAATCGTATTAAGTTTCAGATTTTCAAAAGGCCTAGCAACTCAATACTGTATATCGTACTTGGTATACAATATTTAATATTATATGAGCATAAGTAGAGCAAGGCACAATGCGTTGGCGAAGTGGGGCATCGAGTCACCAATAAACGCTTTTGGAAAGCTTGAACACAGAGGCAGCCGTTTGCGACTTACTTCCGACACATTATTTATTATTTCGTCGTCTCTTATTATAGGTTACACCACAGATGGATTTTACTCACTTTAAACGTTTGAAAAGGAAACATTACTTGGAAACTTGGTGATGTTTCCTTTTTGACTGACTTCCCAAAAGAAGGAGGTACTCAATTCGTCTGTATGTTTTTTTGTGTTTGTTACGGCATAACTCCGCCGCTAGTGGACCGATTTTGATAATTCATTTTTATCCGAAAGATAATGCTTGCAGGTGGGTCCCAATTTTGTTGTTTGATTTTTGGAGTTAAAGACTACGACGTAGTTAAATAGTTTAGCTCAAAATCGCGCGACAAAATTTCGGGTCATTTTTGCTTTCTTTGCTTACGTAGCCTAAACTATAAGACCGACATAAAAATGATGTATGGAAGAATTGTAGCCCTTTAAATTTGCTAAATAAAAGTCCGCGATAGCATATATCTATCTGTTAAGGTTGTCGCACAATAACCAATTTTTTTCGTAGCGTATATTTCGTTGCCGATTTTAAATCGTTGGCCATATATAGATAAAGTAGCGCCATAATTTGCGACAACGTGACTTGCCCATATCGGAATAATAAACGGATACTGTTCCATCTTTTAGCGATACTTATATATTTCCGTTAGGTATAATGTTACACTGATCAATAACATGTTTCCCTGATATTATTCCATAGAAAAATTCCAAAACGCTAAAATTATTTCGTTGATTTTCCTTAATTAGTATTTCCTTATGATGTTATTGAACAAGACCTTTATAAAAAACCCATATATATTCCATTCTCCATAATTATTTTTTTTAGGCAGTTGTTTGTAAATCAATATATATTTGCTTTCTAAAACCGGTCGTGTTCGTAGGATAGCGTTGCATAATGACATAGTCAATTATCAAACAAACATTTATATTTATAGTGTTATTAAAGAAATTTGTCTGGAACTGTCTGATTGGTCAAAGATTACGAAGAAACTGTATTATCAGAGGACTGTACATTATATTATGCATTTGTTACTATCATTGAGCTATTGCTTCGGTAATTGGATTATATATTATATATATAAGTTATTATAATTATAAGTTAACTTTATATTAAACCTAGCTGTACCTCGCGACTTCGTCCGCGCAATATTAAACATATAGCCTATGTTACTATCAGTAGATAACGTAGGTTTTTGATGATGCAAGAATTTTTGAAATCGGCCCAGTAGTTTATAACTTATTTGAATACATACAAAAATCCAAATATACAAATATTTCCTCTTTATAATATTACTATAGATAATGTGAAATGACAATACTTTGTACTATTAACAGTTAAACATATTTACGTCAAACTAGAATAAAATCGTCGCGAGTCGACAGAACCGATTCACCTTGAGCCGGCTGTGCGGAGGCTGATGATTTAAAATTAAAATGTACGTTCTGACACAATTCCTAATGCTACCTACCCCATGTGCATACTCATTGATTACTCTATTAACTAACCTTGCAGTATTATGTCATCGTTTAAGAACATAAAATACTAAGGAAACATAGAGGTACACTTCTGCATATATCCAATTTAGTATCTGCATATATTGTTTTAAGCTCAACTTTTCTATGTATTTTAATTTGCAGCAATGAAAATGATAAAGGAAAGAATGCTTCTAAAAGTTCTTAGTACTAAGAAAACTTCGTGATTTCACACTCAAAAACACCGCGTAACAATATTCTATTTAGGAAATGACAACATTTACAAATACAATTATCACGATCGCAAAATATTGTCAAACATAATTTATATCGCACGAAAACAACGCAATAGACGGGCAAAGTCCTGAATTACAGTTAATATTTCGATTCAAAAGTGTTATAAAGGCAAATTACTTCGTGGGAAAAGTTTTTATAACATTGTCGAATAACGTTGCTTTAAGGATACTGTTACAGTTACAGGTTACTGTCTACGGTGCATTAGTGTTGTGGTACAATATACAGAAATACATATTTATGACTAGCTTTCGCCCGCGACTCCGTTCGCGGGAAATTAAAAAACAAATGTGAGTAGCCTATGTGTTCTTATAGACTATCCTCTACATCTATATTAAATTTTATCGAAACCATTAAGGCTACAAACTCTAACAAACCATCTCAATTTTCACATTTATAATATTAGTATGATAAGCATAAGACTTCTCCATACGCAATAGAGCATTCAATGTATTTAAAAATAACAGAGAATACATACCTCTGTTTTAAAGTGAAAGGTTCTGATTTTCTATTATAAATATTTGTTGAACATAGAAAGGATACTGCGTAAATCAGTGACTCAGTTTCCCGTATATTATTCCCATTATAAGGAATTTAAAGTACTGGAGTACCTTCATTATGCGTCATTTCCTGTTTAAGTACATTTAATTATGATAATGAGCTTTAAAAATGCAACGCACGTTGGACAAGACTTAAATAAACTAATGATATAGTGGTGACGTAATGCAAAACACAATATTTATTTTTAAATTTACATTATCACTAGCTGCTGCTTACGACTTGGAATGCGTAAAATTAAAATTATAGCCTATGCTATTCACAGATAAATTACCTGTCTAATGGTGAAAAAATTTTTAAAATCGGGCCAGTAGTTTTGGCGTGAATCAAATACATACAAAAATCTTTCCTCTTTATAATAATGGTTTAGAAA